AAATTTCCAGCCGAAAAAAAGAGTTTATACTCAGTGACCGCGCGACATTGGGCGAGAATGTGCGCGGGTTTACGCGAGAAGGCGGAGAACAACTTTGTGTTCCATAACTTTGTATTTTAGGCTGTTGAATTCGAATTCGATGAACCGCCTCTGGTCTCCGACATCTGCTCCTTTAGCAGACTCATTTCACGTCTGGCTTTGCAATAGCGGCGGAAGTAGATATCTGAAATAGAACGGATTTATGAGGTAGGTTTATCGATTTCTCAAAAAATCTTTTAAAAATTAGATTGTTCTTGTTTTCTGCACAGTGACTACTGAAACGTGCACCACACAAGTTTGTACACAGCGACGCGCCGCAACCGCACGCGTATTTGCTGCTTATCACGGACGGCTACTTGGAAACATGAACTTCGGGGGTTGACTGCCTCGCAGAATGCTCATGTTGGACGCACCATGCACCTGTATCACATCCCAAGAATGCTTTCGCTAGGTCGGAATACTTGTACAACATGATGCGTCTCGCGTATAATCGCTGGCCAGCCCGTCCCCCAATGAGCACGCAAATTTGATTCGCAAGTGACGGCGACGTCGCGTGGTGACCTTACTTATCGGCGGGGAACTTTGTAGGAACGGCTTTTGATGGTCGAAATATTCCAGTGTTATGACTTTGCGTAAGGTGTGTGTTCCCTGTGAGTGTGCAGTTCACGATGCGACTGATCACGATGTCGCGCGTTGACCTGCACCCTCGAAGACCTTTGTAAGAACGGTTTTAGTGGTCGAAATATCCCAGTCTTGTGAATTTGCGCAAGGTGTGCTGTCCCAAGGATGCAAAAGTCACGACGCGACGTCGCCATGTGAACGCGACGTCGCGCGGTGACCCTTTGCTACACACCTGTTCCTTGTCACCAACGATAAACTAAGAGGTCCTTGTATCCCTTGAATTTACTCACTTCGATTTTTTCTTCTCGGCCTGTAATTGTTCTCGTAGCTTGCTTTCGTCAATGAGTGATCCTTTCAGTTGACAGCGTAGAGATTCGACTTCTTCTGAAAATCAATTCATACTTATCACTATTCACAATTTAATCAATAGATTGATTTTTCATCCTCTGGAGGATTGGGATAGGATTGTATTGAAAAAGGATGTGAGAAGCAGAAAGGTCAATATGGGCAAAGTGGTTAACTGACCTTTCATGTAAAATTCAGATTTTCTTAAAATTTCAGATGCCTTTTCCTGTTTCCCTCTGCATTTCGTCGTACGCGAGTCTGTTAAGGACGAGCCACGTACGCGCACTTTAAGAGACCAGTCATATTAAATTGTAGACAGGACGGCATCTGCTCATTAGAAAAAAAGCTGAAAGATGTACTTATGCCTAAATTTGTCCACTAGAGTGTACCGCTCTAGATTGGATCTTTTTGGAATGAGCCATGCATCACTTTTATTGGCTTCTTGGAGATGACAAGACCAGACGGAATTATAAAACCGCTGAAAGAGATGGTTGTGTCCATTGCCTGCTGGCAATGTGGGCCCATCATGGATTAAACAATGAGTTGGATTTATTGCTTCGATGATTCAGTTTACAGATTCGAAGTGTGATTACGGGCATGACAAGGTTACCTAACCTCGTGTTCACATTCGGCGTTTCGAAAGAATTAATTATTTCTCGGGAGCTCATACTTTCTCGAGAAGATGTTAAAAATGTCGACAGTGATGGGGAAAAATGGAAACTTGCACATTTTTGCTGTTATAGCGCATACCCTCCTACCCCAACCCTCAGAGGTAACAACCATAAGAAGATAATGGTCATTTTTATTACTTTGGGGAGGACTTTGACTTTCTGACTTGATATCCTCCCTACTACCTTATGGTTAGTCTTCCTGGAAGGTGGATTCAATTGGAGCGTTAGTCTGAAGCGAAGAGTTACTTACCCAGCGACCTCATTGCTCATACTCTGAACGCAAAATGGAAGCCTAGCTCATTTAGGAGGATCTCGCCAAATGTGGGTGAATGACGATAGCCAGAGGTCTCGGCTGACGTCGATCATCATCTGTGAAGTGCTTATCACCAAGCTCATCCTTTCCGTGTTACCTTATCAACACCATGCTTATGGAGTAAGCGGATCGTGCACTCAAGCGGGGAATTTCTCTAGGCTGCTAGATCCACTCAATAAGGCGCCGCTGTCATAAGCGGCTAAGAATTATAGATCATCTAATGGCGTGAAGGATTTCTTATTAAGCGTGAAAGCGCATTCGAGTTCTATTTGTGAACGAATCAAATAGATGGGGCTTATAACGAATGAACAGGATAGTTGTGCTAAAATTAGCTCAAGCAGCCGCTAGTGACGCTTGTGCTCCCGCTCAGAAAAACAGACATCTAGAGCCATGGTTTTATAAGAAACCCTTGAAGCCTTTGTCATTTTAGCGGTGACCAAGAGCTGACTGGGAGTTGACTAGCAGTTAGCTGCCACTCAACTCGCACTTAGCTCATGGTCAGCTAACAGCTAGCTGCTAGTATTTTATTCCTGGACGCATAACTCTACAAAAGGCTCTGGATACTTCAGAAAAACGGAGGAATTAAGTGGCTGTCGATCAGCAGCCTCTTTCAAATGTGCCGCGCACTTAGTCTTGATAGGATTCGTAACAGGGAGGGGGGGGGCGACTGACGACCTTTTTGGCTGGCGTGCAGCGCTCAGCGCATAGTACTGATTCGTCGAATGGTTCACTACCATCTGCAGTTTCGTGTCAGAGGACAGTCCCCTATAAAGTACCGTCAATAGCAACCACAGTTAGACTAGAAATGTTTGTTTAGTGCACTTTTGGCCATCGTTGGCTATGACGATGCAAGATAGCACGACGGTGCCGAGTTACGGACGAAAGCTACTTCTTAGCCGAGAACTTGGAAGTCGAGCTTACGTGCTGATGGAGCTGACTGCTGGCCAATTACTCAGGCACTCCTTTTCGAGCACGAGGTCTCGATTTGAGTTAGGCAGGAATGTTGCTCGGACATTCCGCAAATTGGCAGTTTTTGAGTGATCAGTTAATTCTCTGGAGCGAGGTAGAATGGAAGCTCACTCGTTCTTACGTATCGGATCCATTTATGTTTGAAATGGTCGTGGCCAAATCATCAGCGATATGATCTTGGCTGCAGCAGGTGTGAGGCGAGCTGAATGATGACGAAGTACGATTATTGGCGAATTCGACTCCACCTCAGGTTCGGATTGATTTGGAGAGATCTTGGAAAAGCTATTGATCAATAACTGACGGCTCAACAAATCGATCAATAATTGATAGAAAAACCCACATCGCTTTCTATTTCGTATATTCTCCAATGAGTCACTGTCACTGGTCTCAGAATTCGAGTTTGACTTCGACAAATTCAACGGTGCACCTTCGACATCGGCGTCAGCTGATATTGTCATGGATGCCATGGATGATGGAGTGCTAAAAATCGATAATCGATTGGTATATCGAGTTATTACGTTCAGGATTGGATACGGTAACTGGAAATCTTTGCGGTTTCTTTGGAAAATTCCCCCGTCCCTAAAATCCCCGAGAAGTTTCCCCTAGTGAAGATCATTTCAAAACTTACTACATCTCTGGCTGTTTCTGCGCAGCGGCTAATACCATCATATGTTGGACGAGAAGTTGTTGTGCACTGAATTGTGGTAACAACTGTCCAAGGAAAAGTGGATTCATTTGCGTTGTGCATGGCGCGACACCAAAATCGGACTCGTTTCCACATTGTGTCTGGTGCTCTGAAAAAAACTGTGTTATTTGGTAAATTTTACGCCATATCTCTTCAAATTCCTCTTTCCCACGTTTTTAAAACTCAAAGGAATCACGAACCTTCGAATTTGTCACGTTTTGCGACCCACTCTTCAACGGCAGAGGTGCGTTTAGGTGGACGACCAGGGCGAGTGCTAAAATATGAGGAATCGATTATTGATTACGAAGAATCGTACGCGCAACTCTAACCATGTGTTCGTGCAGTCGTCATAAAGGCGATCAAAATCGGTGGCCGCTATCAATTTGCAGCGATTCACACCTGGCTGAATAGCGTTCTTACTGCGTAGAGCTCGTACCTGGAATCAATCGATAGTAATCCATACTAATCAATTACTAGTTCATTTGCTGGTTGTTTAGCATCGAAATTTCTTGAATATTTTATTTTTTCGAGACAAAAAGCCTTAAGCTTTTCTATCAGAGCGATGGCCCACCAGTAGCCCTTCGTTGGTGCACCCTGTCGCCTCGTGTCGCCCTTTGTCGCGCTATGTCCCTATACAGAAGAACAGATATGCCTTGTGGCGCTATCGCAAAATACGGGGGCATCTTCTGGGAGTAAGCCTAGGCGGAGGTAGGAACCTTGTGGAAAATAAAAATCTCTCACGCATCCTGGAGTTTTCTCTCCTCCGCCTGAGACTTATTCCCGTTTCTAGGGAAATGGGTATGTTTTACTGGTTCCAACGGCACTGTCTGAAGTGCCCCCGTATCGTGCGATAGCGCCTGCCTTTTTATGCTGTAGAAGCTGCGTTGAGTTTGCTTACAACAATGATTTATGATATTCTGCTACTGAGTGTTTGCTGGCCATAGTGGCGCCTTGTGGCCCCATGTGGTTCAATGTCGCGCTATGTCGCCCCATGTAGCTCGTTTTCGCGCTATATCGCCCTATGTGGCGCTATGTGGCCGACGTGGAAATGTTTACCTGTTCAACATTGCATATGATTGGTGTTATTTCCAATCTTTTGAGCTTTGTATAAACTGTATGTAGGCCGCCAACCATGTTCTTGAGAAAGAGCTCGTAGACCTGTAATAAGAGCGATTACCTTCAATATGGAGGTTTATATAGTTTACCCATGAAGTATGACAAGAGGTCACCATGCGACGTCGCGCATCAACACTGACATTTTTTCGGTGAATGCGAATGGAATTGCCTCGGTGACAATACCGTGAGAGAGGGGCAGCTTAACATTAGGCAAGTTTCAGAGTTTACGAATCGCTAGCGAATCGCGCGGTCGTTCGCAAAGTGTGACGCCTGCCTTAGCGCTCTAGCAGTAAAATACATATATGGTAATCTGGTCCTTCTAGGCGACATCGCAAGGCTCCGATTCATCTCCTCGGCTTTCTCAGAAGAGTAGTTCGTTCAATAAAAGTGAAGAGAAGTTCCCCGAAGACACCTCAATAGTACCTTATTGCTCTATAAAGACGCGCGCGTACTGCGAGTATGCTGCATAATAGCACGTTGGTCGTTATTCTATGCGAGGCAGTCCGTCCAAATTTGGCGCGCGAACTTGAAATGCGTCTACGCGACGTCGCGTAGTGACCTCATGCCACACAACCGACGCAAATCTGTGATACCTGTGGTAAGCATAGCATATCAGTGCCGCGTAGATCGAATCCGACAACGGTTTGTCCGCGGTAGTTGATTTCTTTCGGTATCGCCGGTTCATTGGACTCGAATGTCGAGAATTCCTGTGGGATTATTGATGACTGACCTGGAACAATCTCATTTTAATTTTTGGCTGAATTTAGAACACATGCCTACTATCGGATGACTGTAGGTTCTTAGAACATCACATAACTGAGTTTTATTCTCTATAACATTTCTTATGGGAACACCACATTTATCATCGTCTACTCCAAAATTGGAAGAATAATTGAAAGTTAAAAGTTTTTTGGGATGCGCCATGCAGTCGTCTGTCTACCACTAAATACATTTGTTTTGCATGTAGTGCCGTCTGCTACAGTAATCAGTTACCGATCATCGTTATCCCTCTTGAAGGGCTCTGATGGACAATATGTCCGCGTATGCGAGGTATGGAACGCTTGGTTGGCCAGGGTGAGAGTCGAATTGGAACTCGATCTTGACCATGTGTGATGATGCACCATTCTGCGCCGCATGACCTTGGCCCTTACTCTGACCATAAAGGCCCTACACCTTTATGGACTGCTCTGTCTGTACTGCCAATACCTCTACTTGGTTGAATTTTTGCGCTCAGCTATCGTAGCTAAGAGCCATTCCAGCATTTTTTAGCAACCCGTTTCTGCAGTCCTTCTTGACGAAGTGTTCGGAGAATTCAGCTACAGTACCACATTGAATAAAAATATGAATGGGAATGAGCAGAAATGCGTACACTCTCTGATGCTATCGCAATTTACGGGGGCATCCTCTAGGACTGAGCTTAGGGAAGGCAGTAATTCCAGGAGGAATGAAAATGGCTGACGCGCGTCTGAATCTTACACCATTTTTCACACAAAAGCATCTTCACGCGCATTTCAATGCTCTACGCATTGCCCCCGTATATTGCGTTAGCGTCTCGTATCGAGCTGCGGGAGATTTCTAATTCGAGAACCTCGAATTCGAGAAGAAGAAAGTGTATGGCAGAATGTGTGCACGGGTTTTTTCCGGAGAAATATCATGTCGGGTAATTTCATATCATTATAAACTCCTTCATGAAGGTGCGGAGTTTTTGAGAGTTTCGAGCAGCCAAAGCAGTTGGATGAAGTTAAGTAGTTATGGGACTTCACATTTTTTCCTTATCATGGTAGAGGTAGAGGAAAAGGATCCTCTGCCCTGCTTGCTACATCGGGTTCTGGATCGAAAACCCGTATTCACACATGGGATTGGGCCCTGTATGCGCCAGAACCCCCGGAAAACCGTGATCAAGATTACGTTCATTGGCGATTTTTGAAGGGAAGGCTTGAAAATCACTAAGAGCTTCCATCGGAATGGGTAAGTTTCTTATCGTTTTGATGCTTCTGAAGGGCCAAAACTGTACAGCTACATGTCTTATGATAGCTACAGTGATAAGACGTGCCGAAGAATTAATAGCTGAAAAGGCAAACAGAGGAAGTGGTAAGAAGAGTAATCAGAAAAATGACCGTGACGGTCAAAACTATACTGACCAACACGGCTATTCCGCGCGGGGCCCACCGTGCCGAGTGTTTTCGCTGGTATACGGGTCCAGCGCGGAAGTTCATCGCTCACCATCGCTGTACATGTCGTAGTCGTCCATCGTGTATTAATGAATTGGATAACCAACCACACAGGGTTCTAGTTCCTGCCTCCTTATCCATATCAACCCACTTTGCGTCGTAATCCCGGCTGAGGCATCGACGGCAATATCAGATTCACTAGACGACGTGTTATATCCACAAGCGGCTTTCAGGAGAACCGCGAATGACGCAGGGCTCACGGCGCAGGCGAGTGCGAGCCACTGGCTTAAAGCTGGCGATCGCCTTTCTCGTGCCTGTTAAGCTGACGCTATTTCCGTCCTCTTGACGACTGCGAAATGTCTTGAGGCTAATAATAAGCACATTTATATCCACTTGAGTTTATTATGCAGCCAGCAATCGTATGTAGACTTGGTTTTGCAGGGATTCCAATTCAGGGAAAGGGCAGTACGAGAGGATGATATGCAAGGTAGATAGGACTGTGCTGTCGGTTAGCTTGGACAAAACCTAGGCAGCTGAATTCAGAACATATATTGGGTTTTGATTAGGATTACCAAGATTGAGGTCCTTGACCAGTTCAAGGCAACGATTTGAAAGAGTTTGCTGGAAGTTGTTGCTGTCATCATTGAAATTTTTCGGAACAAGCTTTTGAGACGAGTGAAAGATTGGAACTTTGACTCTTTCGGTTTGTTTAGTGAGAACCTCTTACTCCATTATCACCCTGGAAGCAACGAATTCACAGGTTTACTGTGCCTTTAAGTCATCAATTTGATCGCCAAAGATATGGGTACGATAGCGCTCAAAGTCTCCGGTGAAGCACTTTCCAGTCCTAGTTTTTTTATTAGATTACACAAGATTTTAATGTTTACGGCTGTTGAAGACAATGTTACGCTGTTGCAAATATTCCATAACACTTATGAGGAAAAAAGGTTACTTGAAGTTTGTACGCTGGCCTAGTTTCAGCAGCCCCCAATTATTGTATTTGCATTTTTTGCCTTCCGTTTGTGCTTTATATATTTACTTACACAAACAACAGTCGACAAGGGCAGAAATTCCATACGAGGTCCGTAGAAGTCTATGCAACATCCAGCAATCTGGCCCGAAATTCCCGCCAATGCAAATTTTCGAGGCCTCACAGAGATGACTTTCCTCTACTCTTCAATGAACTATGTCAAAAATACTCTATGCGATACTTATGAGACGGGAAGATCGTGATCTACTACTTCATTTGAGCAAGTCGGACTATTAATCAAGCGATCGTGAGTACTGGCCCATCTCACTGCACGTCGACATTGCTACCGTTTTTATTTGAACGGCACTGATCTCCACCTCTGAAGGTGCTCTAAATATTCTGGAAGGCATGTCAGCCAAATTGGCCAAGGAGTAAAAAATCTTAGAGCATAGAATGGTCAATTCAATCAAGACCTCGTGGAGGCGAAGATCTGTCCTTTTTATGATAACAATTTCAGGTGAAGACGACGATTCTAGAAGCCGCAAAGTGCAAGTTTGAGCCACGAAGCCGCCATCAAGCCATGCGAGACCTGCGATGTGTTAACGAGCCCTTCATTGCTGAAAGAAATCGTTCCCACCAAGTAAGGTCCGATTTCAGACTTGTCGAATTCCGCGAGTAGAGCGTTGCACCACGGAATCGACTGTGTACCCGCGAATCAAGCTGTGTACAGCATATCGATGCTGATGTGGCTAGAGGATCGTTACGATACCAGCGACTCAACACTGTTCGAAACTTACGGAACTCAACCCTCAAAGAGAAGCTCCACTTTCAAACAGTATCTTTCTACGAAGTGGACTTCCTCAAACGTTGGGTCCCGCCACTTCCAAACAGTATCTTCCTTCAAGGACGAATTCACGATCACAGGGAATTCGAATTTAGGAAGAATTCACCTGGTTGAGAGGACGCCGCGCGGAAATGGTTGCCTTTCCAGCGTGAATTCTCCTTTAAGAGACATATCGAACGTTTCGTCCCGCCACTTCCATAAAACAGTATCTTACTTTAAAGAGGACTTCCTTCGAACGTTGGCTTCCGCCACCTTTAAACAGTGTCGAGTCGCTGGTACATCGTCCGATTCGCTGGTACATCGTTCGATCCGCTGGCACATAGTTCGATCCATGGTATACAGCTCGATTCGCTGAGGCAACGCTCGTATCCAGCGATGACTTTGCGCATGTAGCGAATTCGCTAGATTCGCAAAATCTGGCATCGGCTTCCTTCTGACATCGGTTGGTAAAATGACCGCAGAACTGCAGAAACATCGTGACGAAGAATAGAGTGTGTCAGCAAAATGGATTTAACAATAGGATAATTTCTCGAAGCCCACCAAGGGTTATAAAGACAACAACTCGTCATGCAGGTCAGACTTCTCGTATCTCGCGCCCACTACCAATTCAATTTTCGTAGAGGTCGTCTGACAAGAGCTTCGGAGACGTTACCCGGCCAAACTGAGGGAAAATAGCAAGTAAGGTCAATCAAACATTGATACATGGAATGTTATGCCATCGGCTGCAAGGTTTGACCATCTACTTCCAGCTTTTGGTCAGAAGATAGTTTCAATCAGATACGCATTTATCTAGTGTTTGAGAAAAACGGTATTTTGCGACAGTTATGTCCGCATTTTTACGACTTGAGTTTGCTTCTATTCTAAATTGTTTGATTCAAAACACAAGGCGGGTAAATAGTAAGAATTGTTAGCCACATCATACTGTATGGATACTTGGAATTTGAAGTAAATTGGTCAACTAGAGAAAAAGTTACAGTCCAAAAAAGTATTCACCAGGGACCCTGGAGCGCTACTGTATTTGACTTTATCTTCAGTTATAAGATCAGTCACAAGGTCCATCAAGGAAAAGCAAGTGAATCGTTCCTCAGTAATTTTCGTGAAACATCAAAAGTAAGACAATCAACAAAAAAAACTGAAGCTAGAACATCCTGTCGTTAAAGGGGAATGCCCCTGGGTCGGTCAAAAAGTCCCCGCTGTTGCACCTTGACTATATTTCTCTTTTTTGATCATCCTTTCCGTAACAACTCAAGTAATCTGTAGAGAAAATCTGCTCTGTCCTGAACACAGGCAGAAGTTTAGGGGATTTTTGGAGCCCTCCGTCGCTCTAGCTTTTTCTTTCGAAACCATGAAAACCTGTGATTTTCGACTGCGTGCACTTTATGACTTCAAATTTGGAAGACATACGCTGGAGTTGGCACGAATTTAGCGATCATGCTCAGGAGTGATCCTAAAAAGAGCGCAGTGCTAGAGTTGCATGCCAAGTTCGGATTGGACCAGCAAAGCTCGAAAATTATGCTACATATAGCCAAGGGCCTACCTATGAAGTAAAACATATGAATGAACGAGGCTCATCATGGACGGTCAACCAAAGCTAGTATGGAAGAAGAGGTTGGGTTCTCTGAAAGCACAGGGATTAGCCTCTCGCACGCAATCAAAAAAGCGAATCGTCATCAATCTGTTTCCCGAATTGACATAAGCCGACAGCTCGTTTGATGACGTACGCAAACAGAAGTGGAATTAGAGTCTTCATCGCAATAGGAAAGAGTTGTTTGGAGCAGACAGTGACGTGGTAAAAGTAGGGTTTCAGACGCGGGTAATGCAAGGCATGCCGAATAGGTAGATGAGAGTGAGCCGCCCTGAAAAGCTACAGGACTCGGAGATAACGATGTTCTTTCTTGAAGTCTTCTGGTCCACCGTAGACGTACACTGGTGTGCAAAACTTAAGGACGGAAGTAACTTTCACATGATATCTCACTGCTAGTTAACCTAGGTGGACCAAATTTGGCACATATATAGAAGTAAATGTTGCGGTACAGTGCAGAGAGTTACTAACAGAAAAGCGCAAAGGGGCGATTGGAAAAGACATTTTTCTGCAAATACCCTGTCTGAAGCGGTCGATAGGTGAGGCTTCTCCAACTCATGGTAGACATTCAAAAGAGAGGAGCTGGTTCTTGATGGGGTGTATGAACACTACGGACTGCAAAGCATGCTCTGCTACGTGTTCCCATACAGGCCGTAAGATTAGTTAAGAGTTCTTGAGGAGAAGTGACCGATTCCTTG